TTTTCCAACGCTAAACAAATTTCACTGTACGAGAGAATCAAAATTCTCACCCGAACAATTACAATATTCATTTTTTCAAACACTAATGATCAAACAAAAAAGGTATATGTAAGACAATAGTATTTTAATTCTAATAAAAAAAAAAAGAAAAAGAAAAAAGCTAAAAACATATATTAATTATAAACATTTATAAAAAGCTCTAATACAATCTTTACGGAAGATATAAGTATAAGCATTTGAATAGATTATACATTTTATTTCAAAAGTATCGATCATAAAATACTGAAGATCTATAAAAAATCTAAAAATTGATATGAAGTGACCCCAAAAAGATAAAAACAAAAGTTTAAACTAGCCCGTTGCCCAACATATAAAAGTTGATGTTTGCTAAATATAAAATGGAAAGCGGCTCGTCAACGTTCGCTACACGTTCTTGCACGTCGTCTCCAACTAGTATCGAGTAGACATGCTTCCACGACTTAGTTGGATGGAGTTCAAAACAACAGGGAAAGTATAGCTAGATTTAGAGAAAAGCTTCACTATATAAACCCATGCACCCATTCTTTCAAATACAAACCAAAACAAGAAAAACTTACCTGATGAAATCTTCTTCTAGAATGGGGCCTTCTGCCCATCTTGTTTACGCTATAGGAGTTATCATCATGGCAACAATGGTTGCTGCATATGAGCCATACACGGATAGCTCATCACCACCACCATATTCTGTACCACTTCCTAAAGTAGAATACAAATCTCCTCCACTAACAGATGTTTACAGTTCTCCACCACCACCATATTACTCTCCAGCGCCTAAAGTTGACTATAAATCTCCTCCACCACCATATGTTTACAGTTCACCACCACCACCGCCATATTACTCTCCATCCCCTAAGGTCGAATACAAGTCTCCTCCACCACCATATGTTTATAATTCCCCACCACCACCAACATACTATTCACCATCTCCTAAAGTTGAGTACAAGTCTCCTCCACCACCATATGTCTACAGCTCCCCACCACCACCATACTACTCCCCATCTCCAAAGGTAGACTACAAGTCTCCTCCACCACCATATGTCTACAGTTCTCCACCACCACCATACTACTCACCATCTCCTAAAGTAGAGTACAAATCTCCTCCACCACCGTATGTCTACAGTTCGCCACCACCACCATACTATTCACCATCTCCTAAGGTAGACTACAAATCTCCTCCTCCACCGTATGTCTATAGTTCTCCACCACCACCATACTATTCGCCATCCCCTAAAGTGGAGTACAAATCTCCACCACCACCGTATGTTTACAGTTCTCCACCACCACCACCATACTACTCGCCATCACCTAAGGTGGACTACAAATCTCCACCACCGTATGTTACAGCT